GGCTTAATGTCAGTGATAAGTTGAGGTTGAGAGGTGAGAAGTGCGAGGCACATCCGTTGTGGGCGAGCTTGCAGGCGACGTGGGCGGAGCGAATTCGAAAATTTGTAAAACGCTTCCAGAGCACTCCAGACACCGGCAAAAGGTGAGCAGAGGTGTGCAAGTCCTCGGCCATTGAAGTGAGATAGACACGCCCATTGTGGGCGAAGCAGGTCGAGGTGGGAGGGGCAAAAGTCAAAAATTCACGAGTTGCTTGCAGAGCAGCATATGCACCGGGGACATGTGGACTGAAGGTCACAAGGGGTTAGTGGATGAAATGGGGCAGACATCCTCAAAATGGGCGGGACGTACTCGAGATGGGCGGTGCTTGCTACGAGATTTTATATTTCGGACCTGAGTGACTTTAGGGATCACAAAAAGTCGTTGGAGAAAAGAAACATACAGCGAAGGTTGAGTGTCTGTGGTGTATAGAGACCCGTCCAAAGTGGGCTGTAAACTTGCCCGGGTCTTCAAGCACGAGCTGCCCACTTTTACTGAGCTTCAGTGCATTGGCAGTCATGCACTCTGCCACCTGAATTCGATACCAGTCGGCTCGCCGGCTGACGCCGGCGCGCCTCCTTTGTGCATCCGTACCTTTGAATGCATGCCTGATACCCGACTTTCTGTCATCTCTGCACTTCATGAATGCTCCTTACCATAACCTGTCATGCACAGCAAATAGTTTTCTTTGTGGTGCATATAATGAAACTCTTTCCAGTCCTTTATTCAGACGACGTTTCGGGCCGTAAGCCCTTCTTCAGGTCTACAAACATAAATTATATTGTCTACACCAACATCATCTAACTACATACATACATAACAGAAATCCAAAAGAGGGAACAGTCAATTAACAACTGACCGGATTCCTATGGAAAGGAGGGTCTGGGGTAGGAGTGGGTGCGGGAGTTTGCTGCAAGATGGTCTTGGATGTAAGGCAGACAGTGACACGAAACATCGACTCACCTCCCCAGCTGTCCTTCCGTCTAGAAATGGGACAGCTAGTTCGGCGAAGCAGGGATGAGATGGTGATAAGTGATACCCTGTCATTTGTCATATGTCACGTATCATCAGTTATGACATATCACGGTGCAGCAATTAGCTCCATCGTCCTTCTTAACTCCTCCCTGTTGTTAATCGGTGGGTTCCTCCTTCGAATCTTCCAACGCTCCATAAGGAACCCACCGATTAACAACAGGGAGGAGTTAAGAAGGACGATGGAGCTAATTGCTGCACCGTGATATGTCATAACTGATGATACGTGACATATGACAAATGACAGGGTATCACTTATCACCATCTCATCCCTGCTTCGCCGAACTAGCTGTCCCATTTCTAGACGGAAGGACAGCTGGGGAGGTGAGTCGATGTTTCGTGTCACTGTTTGCCTTACATCCAAGACCATCTTGCAGCAAACTCCCGCACCCACTCCTACCCCAGACCCTCCTTTCCATAGGAATCCGGTCAGTTGTTAATTGACTGTTCCCTCTTTTGGATTTCTGTTATGTATGTATGTAGTTAGATGATGTTGGTGTGTGACAATATAATTTATGTTTGTAGACCTGAAGAAGGGCTTACGGCCCGAAACGTCGTCTGAATAAAGGACTGGAAAGAGTTTCATTATATGCACCACAAAGAAAACATATGAATCAATGAAACTCAGGAACCCTCTGATATTGCACAGCAATAGTGTTGAAAATAGCAGGTATGATGTTATTGGTCAGGAAGCGTTGGTCATCTGTTCAGATAAAAGAAAAGACTGGTAATTCTGAATTCCAGCAACTAGGTTCTTTACAAATGCATAGTGAGGAAAAAGCAAAAAAAAACCGCCTGAAATGCTCTGTATAAGAATCGCTTCCGATATCAGCTTGGATGTGCATACGGCAAAGAAAAAAGGGTATTTGTACGAACTTTCGCGCTTGTTGTTCTCGTAATGATATCAGCTCGTGTAGCTCATCGCCTCACGCTCACCGTTAAAAATGGAGAGAGCTGGTAGAGTGGTTAGTATCTCGTAGCTAGTAGTCACTGGGGGTTGACATGGGTCTGAGGGGTGCCCATGGGCCTAATTGGCTCCAACCAGAATTTTTACAAGTTCTTACTTTTTAATGTACCACAGTCTCCACAAACTCCTAGCGGAACATCTGACACATTCGAGATGTTATAGCCCTAGTTTGTCGCGGAACAAAAGGCAAAGGCAATTCCCGCGACCACACTTCATAGGTAATACAGTTCAAAAATAGAATTGCCGTGTGTTTGTTGACTTATTGAAGAGAAGGAAGCACGAAAAAGCGCCCGGAATAAGACCCTCTTTATTGCAATTGATCATGATCACCGGACGAGCGTAAGGTCAATTGTGAATTGCGAAAGGCGGCGATACACTGATAAGAGACGAGAGAGGCCAGAAAATGACGGGCGAGAGAGCGCAATGGCAGTCTCACAACGACACGGTCACTGGAGGCCGGCATGGGCCTATCGGGCGCCAATGGGCCTAAAACCTGAGCGCGCTGCGTTTTGCTTGCTGTTTTTCAACTTTTAAAAGCGGTATAGCCTCTGACGTTGCCTGCTTGACCATCGTGCACGGTTATGAGAACCTAGCCTTAGTCTATCGAAGGAACGTGCCTTTAAATACGTTCTCAATGATACCATCTTTTTGCACACACTTTGGGAGAGCAGCAGATGAGAAGCGAGAGGCTAATAGTCTCTGAGCTTGCGGGCAAAAGCCAACACCAGCTTACGCAACCATGATGAACTGAGCTGGTTATAAAGTCCGAAAAAGATGAAACACTGACACACACCCAATTCAAAAGGTAAGAAAGATAAAGGGAGTGAGTCATGAGATTGACAAAGAGAGTAGAGTGGTTCGTTTCGCCTCTACTCAGACGAACCACTTTATTCCATCCATCCCTTGAGGCTCTTCAGTGAGGTGGGATGGATGGAATGAGAGGTATGTGGAAAGGAATGTAACCCACTATGGTGGGGAATAAACTATGGATGCCAGGGTCTCGAAGAAAAACAAAATATTAATAGTAATAAGTTGTATGTTAGTAGAGTCATGAACTGGAAATATATGTACAGGAATAATTTTTAGGACAGTCCAAATGCGGAAATAGTATGTAGGTACGCAGTTAAATTGGAGCGCGTTAAAGAACGGTCATGGATATAAAAAACGTCAAAAGACGTTAAAAATGCTGTAATGTAAGAATAGGAATACAATAACTAATTACCCATTTGTATCAATACCAACAATGCTTTCAACAATTAAGCGGATGTTTTTAAGGTTCTCTTTCAATGAATATTTATAACAAATGAACTTGTTTTTATATAGGCATCTGATAACATTGGTAGTAATAAAGTTATCTTCATATCCATTGCCTCTCAAAATGTGCATCATATTTTTTAATCTAGAAGTAAATGACTCCAGAGTGGAGCAGGTGTGGGCCAAAAGACATACCAAGCTCCGTTGGTATGTCTTTCGCTTTTGAATGATAGCGTGAAGTCACGTGCAAGGCGCAGCTCACTAATCACTAGTCTCCTTCAGGTAATTCAAGCCGCTGAACCAGATGCTTTCCCAGTGACGGAAAAGTAATTCTATTTCTTCAGCTGGGCATGAAAGTTGGACGAATCCGTTCAGCTGCTGACGTGTGGGGGCTGCAACTAAGCCACTGTACAGGGACGACATTGTGGCTTTTTTAATGTCTAATGAGCATGGTCTCGCTGTCTCGTGTAACAATAATGAGACTCTATGATTCCTATAAACGCAGCACATGTGCATGATCATCATGGAGTAATCTACCTCGACGGAATGATGAGCAGCTATTGAGATCAGCAAACTGAGAACAACGGCAAACACGGCGGCTGAAAGTATTTGTTAGTCTCCTTCTTCTTCGCTCTGGAAACAATTTTGAAAGCGCTACCTGTACCGCTAAGATGTTGAGTGTCGCAAAAGTAACGAGTAGCAACAATTACTGGCCAGTGTACAAGGTAAAGAATATAGGAAATGTCTCCACAATACACGATCAGCCTATTAGTGATGCAGAATGCGTCAGTGTCCAGAAATATTATAATAGCAGCAAGAATTGTGGACAGAACTCTAAATTTGTTAATGAGAGGGCGTCGAGCTTTTTTTTCAACACGAATCTACCGCAAGCATGAGTTCAATAGCAAATATCCAGTCAGTCGTGACAAATGGTTACCTCGCAAAGTGGTCTGTTACCATTGGAGGACTAGTTAGCACTAATGCTGTCAAACCAAGGACCATCAGCGTTGTGAAGCCGGAGCGGTACGCTGATTTCTTCTCAGTATCTGCAATATCACTATCGTAACACATGTAGCAAAGTGATGTTTCTTATTCAAAAAATCGACTTTCAGAAAATCTTGCTACATATAACTTTTTCGCTATCCTTGCCTGTTGTTAGGTGGCAGAAATTGCTAGCGACCGACAGGACCAGATAAAAGGCGGAATTAGAAGCGCTACGGATATGATAC